AACACGTATTGAACTAAAAGCTGTGATGTTGCACAATATATCTATTTATTTCAAACATTGACCTGATGATGTATCTGTGCATATGTGTATGCTCTTCTATAAATTGACAGCTTCGCGTAATGTAGATGTTTTATCCTGTTTGACTGACATGTGAACAAATGTCGTTACGTTAAATCATTCCTTTCAACGTTTATAATAAAGGTAATCGGAGTGCTTGCAGCTATACCTATTATTTGTTGGTTTTCGTACTAATTTGCCATAATATTTCTTTAATAAAGCTAGAAGTGGTTGGCGCTTCAGTCGACGAAGCGTTGCTGTATACAAGAAACGTATTGTGTGTTCTTTTTATTCTGAAGTTTGCGCCAAAAAATCAACCAAAAAATTACTAGAACATATTAATATGGAGGGCAAGAAATATCATAACTGACAAAATATTTGGTTGTCATGGCATTATCACAGACTTGATTTCTTTGAGCGTAAAGTACGTTTAAATGCTATTTTTAAAATTTTGAATAATATTGGCAGAAACACACACAAAACTAACGTCGGAAGTTATGAAAAGTGATACGATTTGCACCAAATTACGAATTGTGAAGTAATAAATTTGAAATACAAGATTATCTGTCCACCTTTAAAAGCCTTATCTACGGAGAAGTTTTGCGTGCATCACGCATTAAAGCCAAATTATCAAAAAAAAAAGAAACGATGTGCCTTGAATAATGTTTACAAGTTAAAGTCTCAGCTCTGTGGACATAGTTTCAACAAAATTGTCAAAAACTACAGAAACTAACCATGGACAGTCTGCAGATACTGTAATACTCTTTGCAAACCCCTTCGCATACTGTGGGTGTATTTCCGGTAGATCAGATCTCACGGGTGTGGACGAAACTGACAACATTTGTCATAAACCTTGACAATCATACAAAGCTAGTTACTCATTGGCATAATTATTAGTCTTATCTTTTAGATTACACAGGACCACAAAAAAATGAAAGGTTCCTTCGATTAGACTACGTGGATTGTATGTTTTTGGGTCGCTGAAACCGAATCCAAAGCCAGTTTTTCTCTATCACGTCAGGATTTTTTATAACCTAATAATTAAGCCCAAGACTTAGCAACTCGTGGAATCTTTAACTACCGGAAATTCTGGTCACCAAAAATTTACTGATGCCATAACCTTTTGACTTAAAAAACCAAAAAACTCACAACTTTATCACCACATAACCTCAAAACCCAACCCGAAATAATGACACCTATGTCTATCGTTACAAAATCGCAGAAAATGAGCTTTTAATTAAAGAATTGTAAGCCTTATTCTCTTCAAACCTGATAACCTTCAATCCCCTTAACCCTATACCCCGTTAACACGAAAACCCTATCACTTCGTAACCATGTAACCTTAGAACCCGACAAAAAAGAGGTACATGGAGCTCTGACGTCAGAAAATGGCAGTCAATGAGCTGTTGATCAAAGTATTGTAGGTCTTATCTTGTTCAAACTATAAAGCCCCTTAAACTCTTAAGCAAAATCTTATTAAAAAGAAATTTTACAAATCTGAATTCTGCTTATTTTTTTACATTGCTACATGTAAGCTCTGAATCTCAGTTTTTGCTCGTGTGTCGACATCCGGGGCACCTCCACGTGGTGATGATGGGCAATGGAGTTGTTCCTTGATCCCTGGCAGAATCCCTGGATAGCGGCGCTCACGCCGTCATTGTCGGCACATGAAAAAGTACGATGCAGGTATTAGGAACCCCAGTATCAGCGGCTGGTTCGGGCGAGAAAGCAGGCCCACAGGCCTTGTCATGTAATGACTTCAGCTCTACATTGGTGGGTAACTTGGCCTTTGCAGAGTATGATATTTCAAGAAAGCCTATACGTGATAATAGCGTAGACTCTTTCTGCGTTACTTGTGGCAAATATGTTGTCAGTAAACTCAGAAAGACTTTTACAAATTTACTTAAAACTCGGTATACAGAATTTTTCGGTATAAAAATAGTGGACAATCAGTAGACTCCTCATTCGATATGCATGGGGTGTTCCTTGTAAATAAATAAACAGAATAAAAGAACGTTTTCTTCCTCAATGAACTGGCGAAAACCAGAAAATTACACAAAGGATTGTTATTATTGTTTAACGAAAGTTGTTGGGTAAAACCAAGAGACAAAATCTTTCATTTTTTATGCAACTGTTAAGTCTGTGATTTTTCCTACGCTTCCTAATGCTGAACAAAGTTCTAAAAGTTGTATTACTTCCGATGGCATTGAAAGTCAGATGGAAACATTAAAGGACAAAGTTCTAGCTTATGCAGACAATGAGGATGTAGAGATGAACAGCGAAACATCTGAGGAATCAAGAGATGTGACTGACGTTAATTCTAGAGATTTTACTCAAGAAGAGCTCAATGATTTGGTACGAGATGCAGGACTTTCAAAAAAAATATCTGAGCTGTTAGCGTCAAGACTAAAAGAAAAAAATAGTTTAGCTCCAGGAACTCGTATCACTTTCTATCGCGACAGAGAAATTGAATTTAGACAATATTTTACAAAAATTAAAAATTTAGTCTATTGTAACAATATTAAAGGGCTTATGAAAGAATATATAATTCCCTATGAATCTAGCAACTGGCGTCTATTCATAGATTCTTCAACGTGAAGTTTAAAAGCAGTATTACTACATAATGGCAACATATACGCTCCTCTACCCGTTGGCCACTCAGTTGCGTTGGATGAAGAGTACCACAACCTTTCTTTCTTGCTAAAAAAAATTAAATTATGATAAAAATAAGTGGCTGATGTGTGGAGACTTAAAAGTAATGACAATTCTACTAGGTCAACAAAGTGGTCTTACAAAACATCTTTGCTTTATATGTGAATGGGACAGTTGAGCTCGCAATGAGCATTATGTAAAGAAGGACTAGTCACTTAGAGATAACTTAATTGAAGGATCTTAAAACATTATAAAACAGAGTATGATACCTAGAAACAAAGTTATTCTTTCACCACTACATATAAGCTCGGAATAGTAAAACAATTCATTAAAGCGACGAAATAAACTGAAAGTGAAGCTTTTAAGTGAATCTTTCAAAAATTTCCTAAACTATCTAATGCGAAAATAAGGGAAGGTGTGTTTAACGGACCACAAATAAGAGAACTGTTGAAAAACGATAAATTTGAAAAGAAAATGACGAAGGTTGAAAAAGCAGCCTGGCAAAGTTTGAGAGACGTTACAAAGAAATTTCTACGTAATACAAAAGATCCTAATTATGTAAGTATTGTTCAAAATATGGTAAAAAATTAAAAAAATTTAGGTTGCTTTATGAATCTTAAACTTCACTTTCTTGATTCGCATCTCTAATATTTTCCTGGTAATTTAAATAATTTTAGTGAAGAGCAGGGTGAAAGATTTGACCAGGACTTACAAGATATAGAAAAGAAATATCAGGATATTTGGGATGACCACATGTTGGCACACTATTGTTGGTCTTAAAAAGGGATACGCCAAACCAACACAAAAGAAAAGCGCTACGGCAATCATTCACCAATAAACAAACGCGTTATTATTGTAAGACTTCAGAAGATTAAACAACCAGTATGTAGTTTTATAGCTCCTATAAAAATCGTGAGAGGCAAGGGGACTCACGTAAATTAAGCACCCCAATTAGTGAGAGGCAGGGGGACTCACGTAATTCGAGCACCTCAAATAGTGAGAGGCAGGGGGACTCACGTAATTCGAGCACCTTAAATAGTGAGAGGCAAGGGGACTCACGTAAATTAAGCACCCATAGGGGAACAGAAGTCTTCTACGTCAACGTCCCTGTTCCAGAAAATGGTTGAACGTAGGCTTTTAGTTTATATTAGACCAAGCTCATCTGGCGATTTTTTGGCGTCGTAGATGGGTCTCTCTAACGATGGTAGAGTTGAAAGGTTATTTACTTAAGTGATTATAAAATTTTTCTGTTAAGAGGGTATAGGATTAAGGGGTTTAGGTGCTATAGGTTTTGAACTCAATAAGGCTTACAATATTTTAATCAACAGCTAAATGACTGAAATTTTCTGACGTCAGAGATGCATGTGCCTCTTTTTCGTCAGGTTTTAGGGTAACACAGTTACGGAGTTACAGAATTTTCGAGTTAACATGGTATAGAGTAGAGGGGTTTGTCAAAAGGTCTTTAAAAGTCAAAAGGTTATGGCATCTAGGAATTTTCAGTAACCAGAATTTTAGGTAGTTAAAGATTCCACGAGTTGCTAAGTCTTGGGCTTGATTTTAAGGTTATAAGAAATCCTGACGTCATAAAGAAAAACTGGCTTGAAATTCAGTTTCACCGACCAAATAAACATATAACTCACGTAGTCTGGTCCAAGGAACCTTTCATTTTTTTTGTGGTCCTGTTTTATTATTATCTTTATCAATATTAAAATTATCATTATTGTTATTAACATCATTAAAACCATCTATATTGTTAACATAATAACTTTTAATGCAATCATTATCCTCATTATTATAACCAGCAGCATAATCATTTTAGAAATAATTTTTTTGTTACTAGAATTTTAATCTTTATCATTACTATTACAATTATCGTCATGACAATCATCATTATCAACACTATCATCGTCATCACTACAATCGTCAGCATGATAACTATTATCATCATCGTCATCATTATCAGTCTTACCATCACTATCAGAATCATCATTAAAATAATTCTAATAATCATCGTTATCAACGTTGCTAGTATTGTTATCATTATGATAATCATCATCGTAATCAATATTATCATTATCGTTATCTTCATTATTATTATTATTATCAAAATCCTAATGACTAAAATCAACTTTGTAATGATAAGTATCCTCATCATTATCAATATCGTTATTATCATAATTATCACCATAATCAGGACCTACAGTATCCTTGTAACAGTTATCAGCATTATCATCAGAATAATTGTCATTGCTATTATTGCTGTAGTAAGTTTTTGCCATTACTTTAATATTTCAACTGTAGACGCAAGCACTATTATAAATAATAATATTATCACCAACATCAGTGATATCATCATCTGAATCATCACTATTATCGTTGTCGTTACCTTTATGGTTATCATCATTACGATCATCATCGTCATTACCATAACTGAGATTATCATGATCATTCTTATTATCACGATGACTGTAATCATTATTATTTCCGTTGTGATAATCACCATGAACTAGATGATTATTATTATCTTATAATTTTCATTATCGATATTGAGATCATTATCATTATTATCATCTATTCTATAATTATTATCATCATTAACGTTAGAAACAACATCATTATCATTATAATTATTGTCATTATCATTATGATCATTATAAAGATCAACAATATAAAAATTATTGTAGTCATTATCATTACAATCGTTATCATTTTCATCATTATTATCGTCATCATCGTTATTATCATCATAATGATCATCAACATCCACATCATCGTTTTCTTGATTATTATCATTATCGTCGTTTCAATGATCATCCTCATCACAAACGTCACTATTGTCATCGACATCAACATCATTACAATCACGACCATTATGATTATCATTATTATTATTATTATTATAATTTTCAATGCAATCATTAAAATCATTATTATAACATTAAGCAGAAACATAAAAAGAATAAATTTAACCATCGTTACTATCATCATCATCATTAATATCATCATCATCATCATCATCATCATCATCATCATCATCATCATCATCATCATCATCATCATCATCATCATCATCATCAATATCATTATTATCATCACAATCATAATCATCATCATTATTATCATTATCATCATAATCATCATCATCATCATCATCATCATCACAATCATAATCATCATCATTATCATCATCATCANTCATTTTGATGATGATCGCAACGATTAATATTAACATTTTCATGATGATCACCATTATCATTATTATCATCATCATCATTGTCATCATCATCATCACCATCATTAATATTATTATTATCTTTATCATCATCATAATTATCGTCATCATTATCACTATGATTTGAATCATCATCGTTGTCAATATGGTTGTTGTCATAATTATTATTATGAATATTATTATCAGCATTAATTTCATTTTTATAACTGTGATTATTATTATTATAATTATAATTGGTAATACTGTCTTTATCTTTGTAATTGAATGGATGAACCACATTATCATCGTTTTGACTGTTAACACTTAAAAAATAATTTATATTCTTCTGGTTACGATTATAACTATAATCCTTACATTATTATTATTATCTTAAACATCATCGTAAACCATATTAGGATTCCTGTCCTTCATATTATTATTATCAAAGTGATTATTACTGCTATTATTATAATCAGTGTCATCATAAATGTCTTTAACATTATTTTTATCTGTATAAACAGTATCTTTCTCAACAAACAAACACAATCTTTTTAACCATTTTTACTATTTAAAAAAAATCTTATTCACATCATCATTATGATCATTATCATCATGACTATTATTACCATTTTTATCATTGACATTATTATCAAAATTATTGTCATCATCATTATCTTTATCATTATTATCATCCTCGTCATTATCATCATCACTAGTACAATCATTATCATCATCATTATAATCATGATTATCATCATAATTGTCATTTTCATTACCACCATCATCATTGTTATCATTACCATGATTATCATCATTATCACCATCATCATCATTCATATCATCATCATCATCATTATCATTATCATAATCATTATAATCATTATTATCATTATTATAATTATAAATATTATAATTATTATAATATTACCGTTATCATCATAATCACAGTTATCATTATTATTAATAGTGAGAGGCAGGGGGACTCACGTAATTCGAGCACCTCAAATAGTGAGAGGCAAGGAGACTCACGTAAATCAAGCACCTTAAATAGTGAGAGGCAAGGGGACTCACGTAAATTAAGCACCCATAGGGGAACAGAAGTCTTCTACGTCAACGTCCCTGTTCCAGAAAATGGTTGAACGTAGGCTTTTAGTTTATATTAGACCAAGCTCATCTGGCGATTTTTTGGCGTCGTAGATGGGTCTCTCTAACGATGGTAGAGTTGAAAGGTTATTTACTTAAGTGATTATAAAATTTTTCTGTTAAGAGGGTATAGGATTAAGGGGTTTAGGTGCTATAGGTTTTGAACTCAATAAGGCTTACAATATTTTAATCAACAGCTAAATGACTGAAATTTTCTGACGTCAGAGATGCATGTGCCTCTTTTTCGTCAGGTTTTAGGGTAACACAGTTACGGAGTTACAGAATTTTCGAGTTAACATGGTATAGAGTAGAGGGGTTTGTCAAAAGGTCTTTAAAAGTCAAAAGGTTATGGCATCTAGGAATTTTCAGTAACCAGAATTTTAGGTAGTTAAAGATTCCACGAGTTGCTAAGTCTTGGGCTTGATTTTAAGGTTATAAGAAATCCTGACGTCATAAAGAAAAACTGGCTTGAAATTCAGTTTCACCGACCAAATAAACATATAACTCACGTAGTCTGGTCCAAGGAACCTTTCATTTTTTTTGTGGTCCTGTTTTATTATTATCTTTATCAATATTAAAATTATCATTATTGTTATTAACATCATTAAAACCATCTATATTGTTAACATAATAACTTTTAATGCAATCATTATCCTCATTATTATAACCAGCAGCATAATCATTTTAGAAATAATTTTTTTGTTACTAGAATTTTAATCTTTATCATTACTATTACAATTATCGTCATGACAATCATCATTATCAACACTATCATCGTCATCACTACAATCGTCAGCATGATAACTATTATCATCATCGTCATCATTATCAGTCTTACCATCACTATCAGAATCATCATTAAAATAATTCTAATAATCATCGTTATCAACGTTGCTAGTATTGTTATCATTATGATAATCATCATCGTAATCAATATTATCATTATCGTTATCTTCATTATTATTATTATTATCAAAATCCTAATGACTAAAATCAACTTTGTAATGATAAGTATCCTCATCATTATCAATATCGTTATTATCATAATTATCACCATAATCAGGACCTACAGTATCCTTGTAACAGTTATCAGCATTATCATCAGAATAATTGTCATTGCTATTATTGCTGTAGTAAGTTTTTGCCATTACTTTAATATTTCAACTGTAGACGCAAGCACTATTATAAATAATAATATTATCACCAACATCAGTGATATCATCATCTGAATCATCACTATTATCGTTGTCGTTACCTTTATGGTTATCATCANACATAACATTCATATTTATAATAATTATTTTCACTGTCATTACAAGTAATATCGTTATCTATATAATCATTATCTACGTTATCAGTGTCATTATCAACTTGGAAAGATATGATAGCCTTTAGTCTTTTTATTGTCGTTTTCATTATTTCTATAATTATTGCCGCTTTTATCATTTACATTGACATGATAAGCATCGTTCTTATTGTTCACACTATTATTGTAACCACTATCATCATCATGATTATTATCGTTTTTATTATTTTTATCTTCATGAAATTATAAGTTTCATCATCAATAGTATTTTTTTAATGGTCACTATCATTATCATTATTATCATTATCATCATCATGACTATTTCCTTATCTCGATCAATATGATCAATACCTTAATTAGTTTTTTTAATATTAACAACTTTTAAAAACTAAATAACATTATTTTAATTCTTCTCATTATTATTTTACGTCACATTATTACTATGATCATTATTATCATTATTATTATTATTATCATCATCATAAATATTATCATTGTCATTATCATCGTCATCATTATTATTATTATTGCCATCACGATCATTAGTATTATTATTGTTATCTTTATGATTTTTATCCCTTTCATTATTCATTATCATCTTTGTTATCCTCGAAATTATTATCATTTTTATTGTAATCATAATTATTATCATCCTTATCATTATCATAATCATTTTGATGATGATCGCAACGATTAATATTAACATTTTCATGATGATCACCATTATCATTATTATCATCATCATCATTGTCATCATCATCATCACCATCATTAATATTATTATTATCTTTATCATCATCATAATTATCGTCATCATTATCACTATGATTTGAATCATCATCGTTGTCAATATGGTTGTTGTCATAATTATTATTATGAATATTATTATCAGCATTAATTTCATTTTTATAACTGTGATTATTATTATTATAATTATAATTGGTAATACTGTCTTTATCTTTGTAATTGAATGGATGAACCACATTATCATCGTTTTGACTGTTAACACTTAAAAAATAATTTATATTCTTCTGGTTACGATTATAACTATAATCCTTACATTATTATTATTATCTTAAACATCATCGTAAACCATATTAGGATTCCTGTCCTTCATATTATTATTATCAAAGTGATTATTACTGCTATTATTATAATCAGTGTCATCATAAATGTCTTTAACATTATTTTTATCTGTATAAACAGTATCTTTCTCAACAAACAAACACAATCTTTTTAACCATTTTTACTATTATTTTTCTTGTTATTTATGTTATTATTATAATTATTATTATTTTTTTCATCATTGTCATTATCTACACAATTATCATCATTATTATCATTATCATCATCATTATTACAATTATCATCATCAATATCGTTGTCATAAATTTTATCAGTATCATTTCTATCAATTATTATCATCATCATTATCATTATTGTCATTATGATTATCATTAATATTATTATTATCGTCATAATGATTATCATATTCTTGATCATGATCATCATAATCGTCATTATTATTATAAATGTTATCATCATCATCATCATTATAATCATTTTCATTGTCATTATCATCTTTAATATTAACGTCATCTTCATCATTATTGTCAATATCATCGTAATCGTCATTATAAACATCAACATTATTTCTATCATCATCATAAGTATTATTTTCATTATTATCATCCATAACATTTTTATTATTATTGTGATATCATTATCATTGTCATTATCACTACTATTATCGTCTCATATTTTTTTTTCCTAGGTAGTCCAGAATGCCTTTGTGCACCGTAGAAGGGTGTACAAACCTTCCACGGTGTGGAACTCATTGTAACCGTTCCTACTAAACTGGCAAGACCTTGTTTGTGGCACACCCAGCTCGAAATCTGCTTTCGTATTTAAACTTTAAGCTGGGGCCACAAAGGCTTAACCCCTCATACGGGCTTCGTTACCAACGTGTCTTGTATCTATTGCGTCGTCTAAGGTATTTTTCAGTTTCCGTCATGCATCCGAGCTTTTTTTCTCCGCTTAGATGTAGGGAAGGAGCAAAATAATAATCTGATGGGCCCCAACCCGAACACCCCCAACAACGGCGCAAAGAGCGCACCTACCACAGAGCTCGTGGGGCGGAAACTTGGGCCACCGCCTACCAACCGCCCTGTGGCCACGCCCTGGCGGCCCCACCTTCGAAGCCCTGCCACTTCCCTCCTCGAACACCTCGATCGCAGCAGCAAAAACACTACCCTATGGCCCCATGATGGAACCCGATCCACGCTCGCTCTGCCTCCTCTCAGTCATCCAGAAAACCGTCTTCCTTTTTGGCCCAGAGAGCTGTATGTATGTATTGGGATACTGCAGTCCATCTTTCTTTGTTAAGTAGTATTTTTTCTATGACATTGTCGGGATTTAAAGTTCCAATCGTTTCTTGCAGCACGTTGTGTTCCGCTTGCCACTTGATGCAGTCAAAGAACGAATGTTCTGCTTCATTTTTGTCGTAGCCGCAGTACTTTTAAGAAGCCGTCTATGTTTTCCACATTTTGTTGAGATACGAGCAAAAATACCCATGACTTGAGGGGAATTGGGTAAGGTAGTTATGTACTTCCCTGTGTTTTCGCTCAGTCCATTCATTGACATATTTTATCAGGCGTGCCGTCCATCTACGTCTAGTTTCCTCTTGCTATTTATGTTGCCAGCGTTTCCAGGTAATTTTCCAGGCGTTTTTCTTGGCCTCCATTCTTCCTAAGTCAGGCTTCGTAAGGTGCTATAGTCGTCTTTCCCTCGCAAGGAGATCGATGGGGATCACGCCTGCTATCACCGTTATCGCAGACTCCGAGACTGTGTGATAGGCGCAGGCTATTCTCGAGGCTCCTATTCTTTGAGCTTGGATGATTTTCACTCTCTTCTTTTTGACGTTCATCTCATCCCCCCATATCTCAGCCCAGTGCAAGATAATAGACTAGGCCATAGACATAAGGAGCCTGCGCTTTGTAGGTTTTGGATCTCTAACGTTCGGTATGATTCGGCTTAATGTTGCTACCCTTGCCGCCGCCTTATCTGCTGCTTGCCTAAAGTAACTTCAAAACGTGAGCTTTCTATCCAGCGTCATCCCTAGGTTTTTTTACGGCATCCTTCGTCATTACTTCCTCTTCTTGTACCTTGAGAAGGGTGATGGTATTTATCTCTTTCCTCGTCAATTATGTCGTCGTCTTCCCTGCTGCAACTTCGAGTCCGTGGTTCTCCATCTATGGAGCCGCTCTTTGCATAACCTGGTTAAGTCGTATCTGGACAAGTTCCATCGTACGTTCAACGATCACTACAGCAGCATCGTCCACCTATCCTACCAAGAAGGTCCCCTCTGGCATTTTCTAGCGGAGCAGTTCATCGTGTGACACGTTTCAGAGATCGAGTCCAAGTGTGGATCCCTGCAATCCCCCTGCAGTTATTTTCTTTTTTTTTTGCCTTCTGTTGTTGTATAGGTCAAAAAGCGGTCCTTGAGATCATCTCCTTATACTCTCAAGAGATAGTCTGGTGTTCTAAATGTGTGTTTCAGGGCGTGAAGCATGTCCTTCCAGCTTACTGAGTTAAAAGGGATCTTTACATCCAAGGTCACCAGATGAACGAGGTTCTCGATCCATGGCATATGTCTCTAGTGCTTTAAACTGCTTTTACAACTTTTTCTACTGCTCCTATGGTAAACTTTCTTTTTCTTAATCCGTACTGTCTGTCGGAAAAGTCTCCCGCATTTTGTATGGCCTGTAGAAAACGGGCCTTAAGCTGCTTTTTGTATAACTTTCCAGACGTGTCCAGCATGCATAATGGCCTGAGTGATGACGAAAAGTTAGGCTTACCTTTGACATCATTGATTTGTACTAGCCGAGCGTTTTTCCAGGGGGTTGGGAACTACCCCTTCCACAAACATTGATTGTATAAGTTTAAGAGCAGCTGTGGGTGTTTTGCCACCACTGTCTTATTGACTTTTGCCGGTATACCATTTGGTCCAAGAGCTTTTCCGTTTTCCAGTGATCCGGCTGCTAGCTCCAGTTCCTTCTGGGTAAATAAAGGTACATGTTTTATGAGCTCCAAGTCTGCTTGATCCTCAAGTTCTGGATGCGTCGGGAATGGCGTATCCACGATTTGCCTCATGGTATTGGCGTCTTTGTTTGCAGTTGGTGCCAGTTTTCGGAGTTTCCCCATGACTATCTGGTATACTCTGCCCCAGGGGTTATTATTTACTTCCCGGCACAGAGTCTGCCAGCACTGCTTTTTGCTGTTCTTAATAGCAGCTGGCATCGTCTTTCTTGTAAGCTAGTACTTTGAAGTATCTTTGTTTGGCCTCTGATCTGTTTCTGGCCCTTTGATGGAGGCATCTCTGTTTGAGACATTGGCTTTTCAATTCCACAATTTCCTTGTTCCACCAGTAAGTTGAGCTTTTGCCGTTCCATCTTTTTTTTCTGGGCATTAAAGCCTCGCACGCGGTTTTTAGGAGTCGCATGGTTGCCTCGGTAAGCTTCTGTACTTCTTCTACTGTGTTCAGGTTTCGTTCATCGCTTTGAATAGCAGCGATGCCATTTTCAACTTTTTTCGCTAGCCATTCTGTGTCCAGCTTCTTACTATTATATTCTGTTTTGCGTGCAATGCCTCTTCTCTCTCTTAAATCGGTGATTTAGAAGAGGATATATTGGTGATTGCTACCATTTTCGTCCTCAATTACCTGCCATTCCTTCACTCTTGGCGCAAGGTTCTCCGAAGCCACTGTAATGTCTGGTATTGATTTACCAAATCCTGGCCTTCGGAAAATCGTGGTCCTTTCTTCGTTTACAATGACCAGACCTA